GCATCTTTATCAGTCACCTGACGGATAGTTCGGATTTCTCCATTCTGTAAGCCCACTTCAAACAGCGCCCTGTCTGTGGCTTTCTGCAGTTTATATGAGAGCCAGGCGTTCTGTCCAGAGTCCACATCAACAGCCACCACTTTAGTCACCAGATAGCCCACATCTGCTGAACGAGGCACCATCTCAGCCACCACAGARCCACCKGTYTGGACCGGGTACAGAACCTGAGGGGGGTTATCRTTCTGGTCCTGGATCAGGATTTTCACAGTCACGTTGCTGCTGAGYGGAGGAGAGCCTCCATCCTGAGCCTTCACTAGCAGCTGAAGTTCTTTAATTTGTTCATAATCAAAAGAGCGAACTGCATGTATAGTTCCGGTTTCACTATTTATAGAAATATAAGAGGAAATTGGACTACTGTTGATTTCTGTTTCTTCGAGAAAGTACGAGATTCTCGCGTTTTGATTCCAGTCAACATCCCGTGCTGTGACAGACAGCACAGACTCCCCTGGGGAGTTGTTTTCTTTCAGATTAGCAACATAACTCAATTTATCAAACACGGGCGCGTTATCATTTACATCAGATATTCTCAAACGCAAAACTGTGGCGCTGGATAAGGCTGGAAATCCCGAATCTGCAGCCCGCACAGTTATATTATACTCTGGCACAGCCTCTCTATCAAATGATGAGTCTGTTATTAGAGTATAATAATTAGTTAAAGTAGATTTTATTTTAAAGGGAAGGATGCGGTCTGTTGTACAAGAAATCCGACCGTTTTGATCCGAGTCTGCGTCAATCACATTAATTATTGCCACTGTGGTGCCCGCAGGAGAATCCTCCGGAACTGGGCTGGAGAATGACATCACRTTTATAACAGGAGCGTTATCGTTCACGTCTAATATTTCAATTAGCACCTTACTGGAATCAGTCAACCCTCCTTGATCCACAGCTTCGATCACAATTTCATACTTTTTATTTTTTTCATAATCTACMTCCCCTACGAGTGTTATGACTCCTGTAATTTGATCTAAATGAAATATTTCGGATAGTTGCTCCTCCATGTTTGATAATCTGTAAGTGACTAGGCCATTTGATCCAGAATCTGCATCGCTTGCATTAACTGTGGTGATATAAATGCCTTTTATTGCGTTTTCTGAAACAGTAGCTCTGTATAAAGACTGATTAAAAACAGGGGGATTGTCATTAACATCAAGCACTGTGACATCTATGTTTACAGTACCGGATCTAGGTGGAGTTCCTCCGTCCACAGCAATCAGCTTTAATGATATTCTGGGCTGGATTTCTCTGTCTAACGCTTTTTGCAGAACCATTTCAGCATATTTTCTACCGTCTGGTCTCGACAGTTGTTTTAATCCAAACACATCATTTGTATTGAGTGTGTATTTCTGTAGGCCATTAATGCCCACATCTGCGTCCTCCGCAGTGGGCAATAAAAAGCGCGATCCTAGAGTGGCCAATTCACTTATTTCAAATTTAACTTCCTCCTTTCGGAAAGTCGGCGAGTTGTCATTTATATCAGTTATTTCCACCGTAACTCGATGCAGCTCCATCGGATTCTCTAAAATCACCTCAAAGCTGAAGCTGCACGGTGTCGTGTCTCCGCAAAGCTGCTCCCGGTCAATCCTCTCGTTCACGACTAACACGCCTTTGTCTGTTTTCAGCTCCGTGTACTGAAGGCTTTGTCTCGTCACGATGCGGGCACGGCCAGAACGCAGCCTTTCCACATTTAAGCCCAGATCATGAGCGACATTCCCAATAAGAGACCCCCTTTTCATCTCCTCTGGAACTGTATATCTGATCTGGCCAGAAACTATGTGGCTGAGACAGCAGAGGGACAGCAGAAAGCACTGCACTGACCTGGAAAGAGAACGCCATTTCCCACAGGATGAAAACGATTTATCAGACGCCATTGCAAATTCGTTAAAAAAAGATTAAAAAAATGTTGGGTCCAATGAATCCAAAAAGAACAAATGATGATGTAAAAAGTGGTCCTTCGATGCAGATTCTATCTCTCTAATAGAGTTAGTGGCTCATGCGACTGAAACCACCGCTTGTTTTTTTCTCAAATGAACAAAAAGAGGTTGAYGTGCCTCTCCTTTCCTCACTCACTTGTTTTACTGACCAACAGCGTCCTTTACTGTCCAATTTTTGAATATCACCATAGGRAAAAAAAAATGCAGTCCCCAGCTTGTTTTAATAGACTTTAACTGTATAATATACAAAACTAGTTCCAACTGCTGTTAAAATAAATATATATATATATATTTTGTTGCAATTAAAGGTTTACAAGCCAATAATAACCACAAACTTTATTACAAAATGAAGTTATTGCGTCGCATCACAAACAGCGGTTAAAAGAAAGGTGGGGCTGTCCATGCTTTGTGGTGCTGAAACTGCACGCTGTCATCACTATGAGCTAAAATGACACTGCACTTAGTAAATAATATATTTGCAATCTGTAGCAAACGATTTCTGGATTATACACTAATTATTAGCATCAGCATTATTGTCATTCATACTAACAACAGTTTTATGTTATAAATTCAAGTGATACATGCATGACGTGTATATTCTAATTTACATAAAGGACAATTCAACAAGCTGCAGTGTGAATAAAATATTTACAARCATCTGTTTAAAGCATCAAAAAAGCTGTTTTATTCAGTAGGGRCAAGCTCAATAAAGCTTAAAAAATTGCCTGTGTAGTAAAGACACAATCGAGGTAAACTGAGAGAAGTGTCAGTATGTTTGTGAATGAAAGACAAAATCAACAAATCCATCCATCCATCCATCCATCCATCCATCCATCCATCTATCCATCCATCCATCCATCCATCCATCCATCCATCCATCCATCCATCCATCCATCCATCCATCCATCCATCCATCCATCCATCCATCATACATATATGTCATAAAGAATTAGATACAGCCTATGTTACCTTAAAGGATAAATAAAAGACAGGAAAAAGGAGACATTAAAGACAAATCATAAGCTATACTGTGGTGCCAAGACAAACAGAAAAAAACACAAACAAAACAAAATGAACTAAGCCACATTTAATGACTCACTTCACTTCTACATGAGAGTCAGGTGGCTTTAAACAGAACCATACAACAAAGACACATGTTTAAAGATTTATTGCAGGAAGAGGATGGATGGATGGATGGATGAAGGAGTGAAAAGTTGAAGTGATGAATTGGTGAGTGAGCTTGGCTTGGTCATCTGGAGAGAATGATGGAGAGCTTGTCAGATGAAACTCAACGTGGAGGTATGGTTTTTAGGAAAATTAGTTTCATTATATTTTTCTGAGTCCACATAGGCCCCCCAGAAGGAACCTGCAGTAAAAAAAAAAATGAGTAAAGCATGCTTATGACATGGAGGCATGGACAAAGGGGTAGAAGATGAAGGGAAAGAAAGGGGAACAGGTGATGGTATGAAAAGGAATGAATTAAAAGAGTCAWATGGTAGCAAAAGATTGAGGAAACATAACAAACATAGGAATGGGTGAGCAGAGTATTAACATGATGCTGAGGAAATTGGAGGTGTGGTTTTGGATTTGACCCTGCTTCCGAACCCAAGTTAACATTTTAACTCAATTTAGTATAGCTATGATGTCACAGACATAAAAAAGACCAACAATGGCCTAAAACGTTTATAAGGAAACCAACAACTGTTTCAATAATCAGAACAAATGATTTTGAATCATTAAACTGTTACMAAATACAACTTTAAGGAAACTCAAAACAAATAAACAATGACACTAGTTATTCAAAAACAAGAACTGCACTTATTTGCATTACTATTGTTCAAAATATATGGTTTACTATCAGATAATTCCATTACTATACACACAGTTTATAAATGCACTGGATAAAAATAGAGTGGGTATGTGTGGAAAGACCGGTAACAAAAAGACATTAGGGATTTATGAAGAACAGCATCTACTGAACTTTTTTAACAGTGGGTAAAAGAATAAAGAATAACCACGCTTACAGAAAGAAATGTGCAGCTGTGGGAGTCTTGTGCTGTGCTTCTCACAACATACATACATTTACCAATCAATTTGAATATAT